CACGAGGAGATTACAAACATCATACTCTGATGTTGCAAAGAAAACTATAATTTCCCAACATTGTTCTTTTAAATACTTATGTTTGTCATCATAAAAAAAGAGAGGGAGATTGTTAGAACAAGATTTGTCCATTACATATATTGCTTGGATTTTGATGATAAAAAAGTAATTAAAGAACAACGGTTATATTTGATGTGTGTTTCTTGTATGTAGGTTCTAATACTTATAAATATTTAGATGCATAATCTGATATACAAAAGCACACTTGAGAGAAGTTGAATTGCTAACTTCTGGTGGTGCAGAATCTGAAAGACACTTGTTAAGTGATGTTTGGTGTAGACTCAAAAGCTAAATGCCTCAGCATTAGAAGAAGTAACATAATTGTCTCTACACTTGGTGAATGTAAATGACTTTTGGTATCGTTCAGAGTTGGTGATAAAGTTGAAGTTGTCTGTACTACATAAAGCAAGTCGCATAGTCAAATCAGTTTGTCAACTGGAGTCTGAGTTCATAAGGCTCAAGAATGGTTGACATGATTTACGGATATCTACTCTTAATGACTCTATAGAACATGACCTTTTTTAAGACTCAATGGTTAAAAATGTTACCCAATGGATCAAGATCTTTTTGTGTATCTATCTTCAATGGCTCTTCTACTATAGAGTAAAGAAAAGACATTGATCAAGTTATCTCGTCCAATGGCTAGTCTGCTGTAACTATTATATAAGTGGTTGAAGGTTCAAACTGAATCTTCAACAAGGATTAACCAGAAGAATGAGTAACAAGATCATCAATTATTAACTCTATTGTGTATGTAGATTTTATGTTATAGGTTGTAATTGTAAAAACCTTAAGATTTCTCACACATTGAATATATTAGAAATCTTAAGAGCTTTAGGTCTTTGTTATGGTGATTTCCTGTACCTCTGATATTAGTATCAAGTACACCTTGTTCTCTATTCTGCTAAACTTGTTTAGCAGTTTAAATTAATTTTCTCGCCAAGATGCTTGAGCCATATAAGTCTCTTGCTATGTGTTTGAGCTATAAAAGTCTTAATCAAGTGGATTGATTGATAAAAATTCTTCTATCATTAGGATACAAGCAAGGAAGTCTCTATCCAAGAAGCTTGAGCCATATAGATTGATTGAGGAAAGTAACTCGGTTCATGAAACTTGGAGCATGAAGGCTCGTTTAATGGAACTTTGAAGCAGAAGTCTTAGGCCAGTGTGGCTTGAGCCGGTTGGCTTGTTTCATGAAATTTGGAGCATAAGTATTGAACCTAAGAGGTCCAAGCAGGGAGGCTCGTTTTACGGAACCTAAAGCAGAAGTCTTGAGTCTGAAGGACTTGAGCAAGAAGGCTTGGACCTAGGGTTTAAGCAGTGTAAAATACTTATGCAGAATGCATAAGTGATTGCAATCATGATTATATTATAGTGAAAATATCTTATGAAACAATGAGACTGGACTACTCTCAGTTGGGAGGAACCAATATAAATCTTTGTGTCTTCTATTATTATTTATTTGCTTCTGTTAACGTCTGCTGCTAAGTATAATCAGAATCTGAACACCAACTCAAATTCTGAACTTTGATTAGACGCAAAATTAAGAAAACAGAAAACACAATTCAACCCCCTTCATGTGTACTTTTCTCACCTTCAGATACCACTTGATTTGTAAGACATAGTCTATTCTTAGCATGCCAAAACCACTTGTATGCATCCAAAAAGTTAGAGCTACTATCAATGTCATGTCTAATCTAATCATATAAACTATCACTTTGGAAGAATAATGGATCAAAGAAGCCAATAGATTTTAAAAGCAAGTAGGAAATTCACAATCTCTCAGGAAATGTAGAGTCGTCTCAGCATCCTGATTGCATTTAGGAAAGCGATTCGTCTAGAGCATACAAAAATGGCATAACATCAATCTCATAGGAAGGGACATATGTAAAGTTGTCCAAAGGAAGAATTTCACCTTCTCAAGAGCAGGAATATGCCACACCCTATTCCAAGAGTTATTGTATGTTGTATTTTGAATAAATTAAAGTCTATTGATTCAGTTATAACCATCCCGGGAAGTATACATACCATATAAATTGCCTTTCTATGTTAACCAATCATACACTAGAGAATTCAAACAAATGGTAAGCGCTTTCAGGAAGTCATATACAACCGGAGGATATCCACATAGAGAACCTTCTCCTCTAATTTACCTATCCTAGACCAATTGTAAAATCATAAAGAGGAGCTCTTAACCCGCAATTAAATTCAAAGCCATCATTAAGAGTAGGGAGAGTTTTCATAATTGAACTCCAAGTAACTGATCCCAGTTTCTTTTTCATATTAAGGAACATTTCCTCAATGAAGTACTTATGTTTGAAAACTTAGACCCATAGAAAATCACAATCCTAATGGAGACCCCAAACCATCTTACTTAACATAGAAGTATTAACCTCTCTTACTTCTTGGATCCCAAGACCACCCAACTTTTTGGGTTTAGTGATTTTATTCTAACCAATGAGATGCACACCAGAGTTTGAATTGACTTTAATAAAAAAATCCAATTCATCCTATTTGAATTGACTTTAATAAAAAAATTCAATTCATCCTATCAATAAATCACAAGTTAGTTGTGGTAGCCAACCCACTTTTATATAATAATTTGGGATGGATTTTCGGATAAACCTAATTAGAGTCGAACTACCATTCTTATTTAACAATTTATGTTGTCAAGATGCTAATCTCGGACTGATTTTCTCATATAAGAATTTAAAGTCCTTGCATTGAAGGACTATTTCTCTAGAGTAAGAGTTCACATGATACCTGTGTTGGAGACAATTAAATCTATTTACTCCTCTTAGTGGTAGGGGAGAAAAACACATTTGATATAATAACATTCACTTTAAAGCCATAAAACATGGCAAAACAATTCAAGACATCAGAAATAATCCCTACTTAAGAGTTATAAACCTTACCAAAAAGAAAAACATCATTAACAAAACATAAATACAATATAAGCGGTCCATTACAAGATAACCTAACAGACTTTTAATGACCTTCGTCGACTTTCCTAATTATTGTGTGCAATTTGAATTTTTAACAAATAACATAGAGATAAGGTGAAATGAGTCACCGTCTTATAATTTTTTTTATAAATTTTAATAAAAAATTAATATTATATCATTATTTAATATAATAATTATAACTAAAAAAAGTTATAAACAAATTCAAAAAATATAGATTTTAAGATATTTTCAAAAGAATTATCAAATCCATTTAAAACTTACAAATGGCCTTTAATTTATTTGGCAGGTCCAATTAAATTTTTTAACAACCTTTAATAGAAAAGTTTTCATTTAAACATAAATAGGAAAAGAGTGAACATTTGGTCAAAAATTCTTTCCTTAACTTTTCCATTTTTTTCTCAAATATTCCAAACATACCAAAACCTTGTGATGCCCGCCACTATCTCCTCTCCTACACGTGTCACGTTCTCATTCCATCACGTGTAGTCTAGTTCCTTTGACTCATTCCAAAACGACACGTGTTTATTCTAACTCACACACCAATTTCCCACTCAATCCTCAAAAACAGCAAAACTTTCGTTTTTTTCATTCTTAAAAAACAAAAAAGACAACACACAAAGGTAACAACACCCACAAACAATGCTACTGCACAGAAAAATAGGAACACTTGTCTCGTACGTGCCACCTCATCACCCTTCAATTCGCCACGTCTCACGTTTCAACTTCCATGTTTCTCCACGTGTCGTTCAGTTATTAATTAAGGGTATTGTCGTCATTTGATATACCGAGTTGAACCGTTTTCTTCTCTCCACTCCCACCTCTTCACTCTTCACATTTGTCTTTCTACTTCTATTTTTTTATTTATTTTATTTTATTTTATTTTATTTTTTATATAAATCATGCTTTACATTTTAAAGTAAGATTTTAGAATCTCTTAATATAAAGTCTTCTTTTAAATTTCGTGTTAAAATAATTAACCTATTAATATAAATATTTTTTAAAAAAATTTAACTTTTTTCATTTTTAATATGATAATCATTAATTTTAAATATAATAATAATTTTTTAAAACTATATTAATTAATGAATATTAATTGCATCCCCTACTTTAAATTTTAAATAAATATAAATTCATATAAATAAATAGTTTTAAAAATAATATATCATATTTTTTTTAAAATTAGTCAAGTCGGTATAAACATATTCAATTTTAACTTTTGATAAAAGAATATTTATATTTATATATTTTTATTAATAATCAATTAAATTAGTTGTTTTGAGACAATGGATTATATAAAGGAAAATTAATTTTCTAAATATGAATATTTTTTAAATATAAAAATGTAAAAAACAAAGTAACTTTTTAAAAACAAAATTCTTTATTAAAAAATTAACTTTTTTACAATTATTATAAATAAAGATCTTTTAAGAAACTCTTTACAACTTTTACTATAAAAAAACTTAAATTGCATAAATAATTTATTTATTAAAATTTGATTTTTTATAAATTAATATTAATATTATCTTTTTTCTAAAATTTAAATTTCATGATTTTAAGATGGATATAGTATCTTTTTTCTAGTTATCGCCCATAGTTAAATCTAATACTACCAAAGAAATCTAGGTTACAACTTACAATCAAGTAAATTTTTGTTCTCATTTTTACCCTTATTCATAAATTCAACTTTTTTTCTCTTAAGATTTCTCAATAAGTTTTCTCTCTCTAAATCTTACTTGCCAAAGTTGCAAACTTTTCACAAAATAGATTGTATTTTCCCATTCCAGCTGTTGCAAAACCAAGCAACTGATCAAAGAAGCCTTAAATTTATCCCCACTTGAATGAACATTGATCAAAACATGAACCATATTCAGTTAATAAATTTCACAAGTTTCTTACATCAATTTCACGTGTCAGTGTGATTGAATTTTTGTTTTCTCCACCTTCAATTTTTTTGTCCAAACCTTGTTTTCCCACATGGCAGTGGTGGATGATAGGGATAAAACCCACTCACAGGATCGAATTTTAGATACATCAATCCCAATGAACAACGATTACACAAGAGATCTCATCAACAAGGTCATGGCAGCTGAAGCGGTGGAGGCAGAAAATCAACGTCGTCACCGCTATCATGTACCGCTACCGACACCAGCACTGGCAGTAAGGCATGTCAATTATCAGCAACAGCGACTGGATGCTGAAAAAATCGGTGGTGGTGAAGAAGACCAGGAACTTAGTCTTGAACTAAGTCTTGGACTTTCATCGAATGGTCGATTTGGGTTTGACCCAAATGCGAAAAAGATCAAAAGAACAGCTTCGATACCAGAATCATCTATCATTCCGGTATCTGGGTCTGGTGGTGGAAATTTGATAAGAACATGTTCCTTACCGGTGGAGAGCCGAGAAGAATGGCTGAGAAGAAAGGAAGAATGGTTGAGAAGAAAGGAATTGCAGTCGCAGCGGAGAATGGAAGCTAGGAGAAGGAAAAACGAGAAGAGGAGACAATCCAGGACTGCTAGAGAAAGAGAAAGATACTCTAGCAGTAGAGAGAGGGGTGCTGGAACTGAAGATGGTGGTGAGAATAGTAATAACAATAACCCAGTAGAACAACAAGGTGCTAGTGCTGATGGTTTGATTCGAACAACCTCGTTGGTTCGTCGTGTTGGCGGGATTGTCTTGAACAATGGAAAGGAAATAGATCAAGTGGTTCCTATTTCATCGCCGCCGCTGGGTGGTTCAATTGGCGGTTCTGGTTCTTCATCTGGGACTTCAGAATCTGATGTTCAAAAACATGGTCAAGGTAAATAATTTTTTCCTTATTTTTTAATTTATTTTTAATTATTTAGAAAATAATCATGAATCAATTTTATTTTTTGATTGATAAAAAGATGAAATTTTTTATTTTGAGAAAAAAGAAAGATGAAAAATTGGTTCATGAATTGTAGTGTTTCTTGTTTCATGTCACATGGTATGTTGTGTGTGGTGTTCACTGTCAATGGTTGATCATGCTTTGTCGTGTCGTATCAGAACATGTCCCTGCAATTCTGAAATGTTTTTCTGTTTAATACAAGACTGGTTCAAAATTTATTAACTATTCACTCAATTCAATGCAATTTTTGAATCTATATGAAGATACAAATTTAAGTTAAGAGTTAAATTTAATGAAAATCTTATTTATTTGATTACAATTTGGATGTAAATGAACATATTTATGTATATTAAACCATCTAAATTTGTGATTAATTGAAGTTTAGAAGTGTTAATGTTGAAGTTAACTCTTTGTTGAATCAATACGGTTACGTTTTGTGTTGTGTGTTGAGTGGAGAAATTTACCGGAAATTTTGCAACAAACTTTACTTTTTGCAACAAAAAATTTCATTAATTTGGGATTCAATGAGTTTAAATTTAATTGAGAGATTTTTCATACATTAGGTTCAATTTTAATTTTAACATAAGAGTATCCAAATCCGAATGTGTATTTATTAAACTATTTTGGTATTTTATTTATAATTTAGATAAGTATTAGAAGAAATCTTGTGTAAGAATTGGATTTTCATTATTAAAATCTGATTTTATATTCATGATCTATTGATTGGATTTGTCAATAATAGTTTTGATAAGATGCGAGCATTTATAATTTAATTTATTCGATTAATTTGATCGGTTTTATGTTAGAGATCTAATAGAGTGTAGCATTTATAGTTTAATTTTTTCAATCTATTTGATCGGTTTCATCTTAGAGATCTAAGAGAGTGTCTGTAATATAAGACTTTTTTTTTTTTTTTATCTATATTATTCATTAGGAACAAACTCTAATAGAAACGATCTAAGAGAGTGTCCGTAATATAAGACATTTTTATTTATTTATACTATTCATTAGGAATAAACTCCAATGAAAACTGAAAACTCGAATTCAGACAACTGTTAGAGATCTAATAGAGTGTAGCATTTATAGTTTAATTTATTCTATCTATTTGATTGGTTTCATCTTAGAGATTGTCCGTAATATATGACACTTTTTTATTTATACTATTCATTAGGAACAAACTCTAATAGAAACTGAAAACTCAAACTCAGGCAAAATGTTAGAGATATAATTCGATCTATTGATCGGTTTCATCTTAGAGATCTAAGAGTGTCCGTAATATATGATACTTTTTTTATCTATATTATTTATTAGGAATAACTCCAATGAAAACTGAAAACTCAAATTCAGACAGCACTGTTGGACCTCAAAACATAAAAGCCGTGAATTTCTTTGAGGGCTCAAACTCGAGCAAAATTGTTGGACCTCAAGACAAAACAAAGGCCGTGAACTTTCTTGAGGGTTTGAGCTCGAGCAAGATTCTTGGACCTCAAGACAAAACAAAGGCCGTGAACTTTCTTGAGGGCTCGAGCTCGACCAAAATTGTTGGACCTCAAAACAAAAAGGTCATAAACTGGCTCGAGGGACCTCAAAACAAAACAGAGGCTGGGAGGAACCGGCTCGATGACATGCCAAGTGTTACTACCAAAGGAAATGGACCTAATGGAAAAAGAATTGAAGGGTTTCTTTACAAGTATGGAAGAGGTAAGGAAGTGAGAATTGTGTGTGTTTGCCATGGAAGTTTTCTCACCCCTGCTGAGTTTGTCAAGCATGCTGGTGGAGGTGATGTGCCTAATCCACTTCAGCAGATTGTTGTTAATTCAAGTTCAAGTTAACTTGATGAGGCTATAAGAGGTATCAAAAGTATGATAAGAGTGATCATATATTTTAATTTAAATATTGATTCATATGTTCACTCTTAGACTTTTGAAACCTTAAATGTGAAAATATGAGGATATGAACTTGGTGTTTTTAAGGTGTAATATTTATTTATCTTTGTTTTTATGTTTATGACTTAAGGACCCTATTATAAGGGAACAAATGGTGTTACTTGCTAAGGTTTAAACTTATATGTAAATTACCTTTTATTTATTTTGTTTAGTCTCTCTATTATATTTCTTTGGTAATTTGTTATTTTTGATGTAATTAAATTTTATAATCACTATTCTGAATTTTCTTTTTTCTTTTCAAAATATATATTTTTTAAAACCTATTGTGGTACTTGCCATGGTTTAAACTTTTATGTAAATTACCTTTTATTTTATTATATTTTTTGGTAACTTTTTTATGCAATTAAATTTTATGATTAATATTTTAAATTATCTTGTTTTAAATTTTTTTTAAAATTAATTATAGAAAATGCTGCTTTTACTAATATAATGACTACAATTTTCTTTATTTATTTTTTGTCCTTTTCTACAAAGAAAATTTTAGGCTCTGTGATACTCTTTAGTTTTATACAATTATGAACTCTTAGTTTTTTCAATTGGTTCTGTTTTAAAATTAAACAAATCTAGTATTATTAGGTAAAAAAAATTTCGAAAAGACTTTTTACTTTTTGATTTCCTGTTTGTACTCATTTGAAAAATCTCTTTTCCAATATTTTAAAATAAAGCTAGTACAACTTTAGACTTGTGAATAATTTGTAAGTGTTATTTAGGTTTGATAGAAAAAATGGTTTTTTTTTTTTTGAAGAACAATTTATTATTTAGTGAAAATTCATTTCTAATATTTGACCAATTTTTTTAAGAAAGGAAAAATGTGACTGAATTTATTATCACGCTCTACTTAATATTTCTTAAACTCATATCTTATGTTAATTTTGCTTCATAAATAAATGACTCAAAACTCAACATGGACAACTAAAACAAATACCAATATTTTTTTTTCAATAACAGAAACTTGTTTCCATAAACTAGAATGAGATTCTACCATTTATCTCTATTCAAATACATCATAGTTAGTCAATAAATAAAATTTTATCGTAATGATTATAAAATTTACTCAAAGTAGTTTCAATAAATACATATGCACATTGATTGAGCAGAGAGTTTGAAAACATAAACTTACGACATTTGAGGAATGGGCCTCCAACTATAATATTGTTTTTAAAAAAATTAAAAAATTTAGAGCCCATGTATTTTTTAGATATCATGCAGATTTTTTATAATGCTTATAGTTTTTAGAGATATATTTTCAGACGCATTGTTTTTACATTTAAGGAAAATCATTATGGATGGCGCCCCATGCATTTGTTAAAGATTTATTTTGGTGATACATCACCCGAACGATTTGAAGAAAATATGAATATTAATCAGTTCACTGAATGTTCTGGAGATATGTCTTCGAAATATGTAAACAAGAGGACAATTTTACTTGAGAATTAAAGGTGTCTCGGTCTCTTTTGAAGGATCAAGGTGAGATGTCTACAGCTAATGTTATAGACCGCGATACTGCATTGACAAATGCGGTTGCAAAAATATTTTCTTCTTCTTATGCATTAGGTATCACATAACAAAAAATGTGAGAAATTGGGTTAAACTCGTGGTAGGGACGAAACAAGTAGAATTCGGAGGTGGAAAATTAGTGAAGTCGGGTGTGATTGTTGAAAAACTAATGGATGCATGGAAGTATAATAAATTTTTCCACAAAAGAATTATATGTTGATTCCGTCATTCATTTATAAAAAGTGTTTGAAAAGTATCCAGCTTTGTTGAAATATGTTGAAAGCAACATTCTTGATCAGGTGAAGGAGAAGATAGTTTATGTGTGGACTGTTAATGTTTTGGATGCATGGATGCATGAATGAAGGTAAATCGAATATCTCTATTTTGGCTTAATGGGAAGTGATACAAGAGATATTTTTGAAGGCCGATGACAACATGAAACTCAACATCAAAGAAAAATTGAGGAAGATTTTCTATAGTTGAAGACGCATAAAAAATCATACACGCGGTTGTACGGAAGTAAAGTTAAATGCGGTTTATGAGTCTCTTGAACTTTGCTTGAGTGGTCTGGCACTCGGAGCAAAAATGGACGACCTTCTCCGATATGGGTCTCCTAATTGCATGTGCATATGATAGGGTGTGCATTGACCTGCAGGTTTTCGGGAACCTTTATTTCACTCCGCACCGCACCACCTCAAAATCCAAATGATCGCATCATGTGTATTGGATAACTTTTAAAATTAAGTCATTTTGTTAAGTTTATTTGAAATCGGGACGACTCATACCGCTTACATCATCGGAATGAACGACTCATTCAATAGCAAATGCCGAGACATGGTCGGATCATTTTATAGAAAGGATGCAAGAATTCGAAAGATTGAAAAATATTAAAAATGAATCAAATGCACAAAAATCCACGGAGGTACTACCTTAAGATTTAGTCGGCGACACATTTTTCGATTTTTTTAATTTCTTGTGTAATCGGACGAATAATTGCATACTATTGTGTCTCAATTTATAAATGAAGTGTTACATATTCACTTTTTATTCATATTTGGTGTTTATGCACATTTGGTTCATATTTGTTTCTTGTGCAGTGTCTGTTATCTACTTCTGTTTTAAAAATGTACCAGGAAAAGTTTCAGAGATACATCTCTGGAAGGTTTTATTATTTGATTTATTTTTCATGGTCTAGGGAAATTTTCGGAGATGTATCTCCGGAACAAGATAATATACTGTCGTTCTGTAGATATATATCTAGAATAATAATGACAGTTAATAAGGGGTCCATATTCGACCATGTCTTCTATAAATTTGGATGTTCATGTGTTATACTTCACACAAATTTAAAATGTCTCAATTGTGTGAAATAAACATTCGTTGGTATGTCTCAAGGGTCTCTTACTTCGACGGCAAAACACTCGGGATGATGTTCAAACTTACCTATCTCACCTCCCTCGAAGATATTCTAGATGAAATCCAATATCTCCTACCTTACGGAGACAAATGAAAGGTTGTGAAGTTTGAGTACCGTTCATCTTCAGTTGACAACGAAGAAAACATTGTGTTTAGTAAATTTGAGCTCAAGACTCGAGCGGATATTATGGCGATGTAGCGAGCGTTTTTCGGTTTCGAAGAGTAAGTTTTGCTCGAGATGAAAGCGTAATTACAAACATCGGTCGAAGATATCTTGGAGGTGTGCAAGCGTCCATCGGGATATTGAAATGTAGTATTTAATTTTATGTTGAAATCATCATTGTAATGCTCATTTTACGTTATGAATGATCATTTTATGTTTTGAAAGTTCATTTTGTGTTGATTCTATCTCTGGTATTGTTCTGAAAATATGACTACGGTATTGTTCCGGAGATATATCTCTGGAATTAATCAAACCCAAATGTATGCGGCGCCATCCAGAATGACCTTCCTTGAATGTAAAAAAGGGTGTGTTCGAAGATATATCTCCATAAATTAGGCGCATTATAGAAAATCCGTATGATTTCTAAGAAATACATGGGGTGCAATAAGAAATTCTCAAAATTTATTAATAACAAAAATCAACAGCATGAGACATGCTGCTAATGAAGACAAATTACATAACTACATAACACCACCAGTCCACCAACAGAAAAAAGAAAAAAAAATCCATATAATCCCCAACAGAAACAGACCAAAATAACCTCCCACACTCACCCCATATACCAAAATCCACCCAACTAATAATAAAGATAGAAGTAAAATTCACTGCTCATTACACTATAAGTAAGAGAACTCTAACTTACACTATCATCCCCATACCTACAACACTAATTGAGCGAAAACCATGATCTACAATTAACCAATTATTCTTGACAGCTCCTAATAGCAACAGAGAAAAGGCCTCCGAAACAGATTTTAGCAGAAACACCAGACCCAAACAACAGCTCCCTGAAGCTGCAAATGCTGAACAACAAACCCAAACCAAATACTAAGTAGACTGGCCTAAAGTGATGTCATCCCATACTGGCATACTCATGACCGAGAGCGAAAACAGCAGTAGATATAAACTAGAAGAAGAAACTACCTCTTTTGATTGCTAAAAACTCCATTGCGGGACTCATTGAAGCAGTTAGACCGAGCTATTTGAACTATATTTAGATTTGAATTTTTCGAACTGCTCTGCACGATTACAGCCACCAAATAAAACAATAACTATAAATTGCACCAAAGTCTCAAGACTCCCGCTTCCTGATCAGAAAAGAGGGACTCAACCAACTTACTCCGACAAAAGTGAACCTCTTCCTGCTGATCTAACTCCCTTCGCTTATGATGCCCAAACAAGCTTTGGGATTCAGGCATCATAAGGCTAAATCTTCGCCGATAACATTTGACTTTATTTTGAGCCACTTCTAAGCTGTGATTATTAATTCTTCTTCTATTTTCTCAAGGATAGCCTCCTCATTTCTGAATATATTGTCATTCATGTTCTTTCATATATTCCACACACAAGCCGACCAAATAGAGATCATTTTCAAAGACCGATGTCTTCCTCCAGTTACCGAATTTTCAAATTGATACATATGCTTCCATCCATCATTGTGAAGGGTTACTTTAAAATTGATAACCGACTCCTCACCCTTACACCTGACCTGCCTCTAAGACAACACACCCCTCTTAACTAGATTATCTTTTGTAGGAATTTTATTTTGGAGTATTCTCCAAATCAAGCAAGATACCTTTGTCAGCATTTCCTTGTTCCAAATCTTTGTCCATCTTTGATTAGATTCATGATGGATATTAGATGCTAGACTTTTGTATACTTCTTTCATCGAGTACTCATTTGATGAAGCAAACCTAACTATATCTAATTCATTTATTTTCTTCCACCACTTTGATCCTCCATCCTCTCC